GGGGTTTTCCAGTGCTGGGAATCAAAACACCTCACAGACGTGGCTCCACACCTGTATGAGAACTGTACTTTTTAATCTGTGACTTTCCAATGTCAAAAAAACAGGGACAGCTTTCTGGTTGACCCTATTTGGCAGGTAGCTGTAAGGATGTTGCCCCCAGCTGTAGCTCTGAACCCCCAGCTGAACCTCTTCTGCTCAGCTACCACCCAAGCCAAGAGAAGACAGTGTCCCAGCTCCTATTCATTTTCCCAAAGCCCTGAATCCACCATCTTCCATTATTTCCTTCCTTTGCTCTGTCTCTGTTCCCCAATGGCCATTGAAATTCAGACCCACCATTAAACTGCCCTATCACTGATTATTTGAACATCCAAGTGCATCTCCTTTCTTGCCCCCAGCTCCTAGTGCTTGTAGCCTCCAACAAAGACATTGATGTTCTTGGGGATGGTTTTGATCAGTACCTGTCCCAGGGTGATGACTATCTCTTGAAGAAAAAAAAGAGGGAGAAAGAAGGGGCAGAGGCAGGGAGGAAGAGAGTGAGAGAAAGAAAGAGGGAGGAAGAGAGTTTGGGATCTCTGCTGGCAAAAGAGCAATAAGGGAAGAGTTGTCCTTATTTTCCCATGAAAATGATCAATTTTCTCTAATCTTCTGATCTCAAAACTTTGGGCCAAGCCCTCCCCCCCCAGCTAGTGAGGGGAATGCTGCTCTTGGTGCACTCAGCACTCACCTTGTTTAGTGTTTGGGGTTTTTGTTGCTTTTAAATGCTCCTCTTGAAGGGAATTGAAAGGTGGGGCTGGGGCCACACCTGCTTCCTGGCAGGCTGCAGCACTTTTCTGTGATATGACTGACAAAAAAAAAAAGCAGCCTGCACATCTCAGGAGACCCCCTGAGAAACCCCTCCCAGAGAACCACCCCCCAGGGCCATGCTCCAGCCATCCAGAGTAGCTGCACCCCGCACCCATCTCCCCAAATCACCCGTCTCCACGACCTCCCCACGCACACACTTTGAACCTCAGTGCTGTGTTTGTTCCTTCATTTCAAACCAACAGATTTGGGCATGTCTTTGACAGAGGATCACAATTTGGATGTTAAATTTAGACGCGCACTTAGGCTCTGATTAGAGATACACCGAGTGTTTACTCACTCTGCGGGGAGTTTGCACCTACCGGGCTGAGGGTGAAGCCCCTCAAGGCTCTCTGATCCTCTCCTGGTGATTAGGAGAGGAGGCTGAATCACCACATAATGATGCCCTGGTATTTCCCGCAGTCAGGAGCGTGCCTTGCCTTCCTCACTCCATCCTACCAAAGAACTCTTTCCAACACTTCTGCCTCTCCATGTGCAACCAGCTCCAGGAGGACATCTCTGCCCCAAGGAGCCATGAAAGAGGGAAGCAGAGAGTTTGCAGGAGTAGGAATAACTGATCCCGTGAGATGAGGGACCAGAAGGAGGTGAGGGTGCCTAAGTGCTTAACGCTTGCTGCTGATCTGGCAGCCCTGAAGTGGATATGGCCCTTGCCGTGGGTTTCACAGATCATGCACTAATTAGTGTCAGCACAAGGACATGGGGTAGCACAGCTCAGAAAAAACAGGAAAAATATTTCTTCTGATTGACATGAAAAGATCTGTCACAGGCACAGCTGATTTCACCCAGTATCAACATGGAGATCCTTGAACTGCAGTGCAAGGACCCTTGAGCTTGGCAGCCACCTACAGCTGGCATCTGAAGGGCTGGTACACTGCTTGGATGCCATTTTCACATTGTATGCAGCTTTCCCACCTGCAGTACAAGAGCCATAGAAGCCCACCTTGTTTCTGCTCATTGGTTACTGACACTTTCCAGGGGCAGTTCCAACTGGAGATGAGCCAAGGCAGCAGTAAACCAGATTCACCCTCTGTTCAGAGCACTGTGCCCCTTTTTTCTGTTGAGCTTCACCACAGCCTTTTGAAACGTCCCAGTCCCACTTTTGGATAGTTTTGCATTGTGAATGTGGTGTAAATGATCCCAGAAGCAGGAAACAAAGCACGGGCTGCACAGTTATCTCCTTGGAAATCTATTACTCTTCAAATGTCATAAAAACCATGCTGGAGAAAGCTAAAGGAAACATCCAGTGCATCATTGCTACTCAGCATAACCTACTAAAGAGGAAACTCCAGGCTATGAGTAGTAAGTGATGGTTTTCTGTCCTGGGCTGGGAAGTTGCAAGCTCTTCTGGGAGCCCCAGGAGACTCAAGTGGAATAGGCCAACTCGTGAAGGTCACTAGTGCCACTAACTCTCTCCATCTCATTCCTTGACCAAAGGAGAAAATAAGAGGACAAACGTGGGCTTATGTGGAACTGCTCAAACAGTGGTAGGATTTGCCAGCAATATTGGTATCTAAATTGTCCAAGCACATGCACATGCAGTAATAAAGATGATGAAATAGCACATCTCAGAGAACAGGCAAGTGCAGTCAGGAGACACGATGGGCTCTCTGTGCTGATGTTGGGGCTTTGGGCATGTGTCCTGCCAGAACGAGAAACTATTAGACTTCAAAAGCTGATAGTGATGCCTCCTAGAAAATTCTCCCTAAGTTTTAGCTGCGCCTTTCAAAGTTTTGGATCTTTTCCAGAGGAAATGAGGCTTCTGCCTCATGCCCCATGTGCATAGTTCCTCTCCATCCTTCGTAATAACTGCTGAAGCCATTGATTGCTTTCGGCCCAGCTTCTAATTGAAAGCACAGCTCTCAGAAGTATGAGGTCATGACAAGTTTTACAAAATAATTAGCTGGACAGAGGAGAAAATCCCTGCTAATGCCCCCACAAAGTAAAAAGAACAGCAATGTAAGTGAAGATCTTCTTAGACATCAGGAAATCTACAGGCAGGAGTGAGGTTAAGGACATTCCAGGAGAGATTCAGAAGAAAGTTCACAACTTATTAAATGCCAGAAAACTCACTCCTTGCTCAAGGTTATCCTCCCATATTGAATTGCTGGTGCCCAAGAAGGCATGTGCTCTAACTCCTGCTTTTCTTGTGGTTGTGCAGTTCATAACGTCTCTGCCTTGTGGGTTCTCTGATGTCTTATAAGAGAGGAGTTCACATTGCCGTTTCAGTACCATTCAATTAAAAAGTCAATTAGCCCAGATACAAAGCGATTGGCTTCATTAATTCTACTGTTCGTGCAACAGCACTGGTTTTGTTGCTGTTTTATTTTGCTGTCTTATTCTACTCTGAATTGTATGTGACTTATCCTGCTCCACAGTCCCAGCAGACACACGCGCACGCAGCATGCATGCATCTTCTTTCCAGGTTC